CATGGTGGTGGGAGTGTCATGGTCTGGGGCTGCATGAGTGCTGCCGGCACAGGGGAGCTACAGTTCATTGAGGGAACCATGAATGCCAACATGTACTGTGACATACTGAAGCAGAGCATGATCCCCTCCCTTCAGAGACTGGGCCGCAGGGCAGTATTCCAACATGGTAACGACCCCAAACACACCTCCAAGACAACCACTGCCTTGCTAAAAAAGCTGAGGGTAAAGGTGATGGACAGGCCAAGCATGTCTCCAGAACTAAACCCTATTGAGCATCTGTGGTGCATCCTCAAACGGAAGGTGGAGGAGCGCAAGGTCTCTAACATCCACCAGCTCCATGATGTCATCATGGAGGAGTGGAAGAGGACTCCAGTGGCATCCTGTGAAGCTCTGGTGAACTCCATGCCCAAGAGGGTTAAGGGAGTGCTGGAAAATAATGGTGGCCACACAAAATATTGACACTTTGGGACCAATTTGGACATTTCTACTTAGGGGTGTACTCACTTTTGTTGCCAGCAGTTTAGACATTAATTGCTGTGTGTCGAGTTAATTTGAGGGAACAGCAAATTTACACTGTTATACAAGCTGTACACTCACTACTTTACATTGTAGCAAAGTGTCATTTCTTCAGTGTTGTCACATGAAAAGATGTGAGGGGTGTACTCACTTCTGTGAAATACTGTATATACACTGCTCAAAAAAATTAAAGGAGCACTTTAAAAACACATCAGATCTCAATGGGGACAAATATGCTAAATATCTATACTGACACGGACTGGGTAATGTGTTAGGAACGTAAGGATGCTCCATCATTTGATGGAAATGAAAATAATCAACCTACAGAGGACTGAATTCAAAGACACTCCAAAAAGTGAAAAAAATGATGGAGCAGGTCAGTCCATTTTGCTGAAATTTCATTGTAGCAACTCAAAATGGTACTCAGTAGTTTGTATGGCCCCCAAGTGCTTGTATGCACGCTAGACAACATCAGTGTATGCTCCTAATGAGACAACAGATGGTGTCCTGGGGTATTTCCTTCCAGATCTGGACCAGGGCATCACTGAGCTGGACAGCCTGAGGTGCAACCTGGTGGCATCTGATGGACCGAAACATGATATCCCAGAGGTGTTCTATTGGATTTAGGTCAGGCGAACATGGGGGCCATTCAATGGTATCAACTCTTTTATCCTCCAGGAACTGCCTGCATACTCTCGCCACATGAGGCCAGGCATTGTCAGGAGGAACCCAGGACCCACTGCACCAGCGTGGGGTTTGACAATGGGTCCAAGGATTTCATCCCGATGCCTAATGGTGGTCAGAGTGCCATTGTCCACCCTGTAGAGGTCTGTGAGTCCCTCCATGGATATGCCTCCGCAGACCATCACTGACCCACCACCAAAACAGTCATGCTGAACGATGTTACAGGCAGCATAACATTCTCCACGCCTTCTCCAGACCCTTTCACGTCTGTCACATGTGCTCAGGGTGAACCTGCTCTCATCTGTGAAAAGCACAGGGCGCCAGTGGAGGACCTGCCAATTCTGGTGTTTAATGCCAAATGCCAATTGAGCTCTATGGTGCCGGTGTCACGTACCTGATAGGAGAATGGAATGACGAGGTCGGCCTCACTTGTGTCACTAGCCCTGACCCCACTGGAAGTGGAACAGAGGGTGCCGAGGGACCGGGGGAACAAGAGTGCCAGCCGGTTTTGCCTGAAGAGCTTGCAGTTAGGGTCCTGAAGAGACTGGAGAACCACCAGTTCAGGAACGGTAGCAATGTTTCGGAATCCCACCTGGGTTAAAAGGGCTCTCCGCTTGTACAACAGGTTCAGGATAAGTGACGTGTCAGATCTCCCAGCTGAGCAGGAACAGTTTATGGTGAGCAGAGCTGGTATAGTGGACAGTCAGATGGGCATTCGAGCAAGACAGGAAGCTGGTCACAGGACAGGAGCAAGATCACAGGAATAGCCAAGGTCATCAACGGGCAGACAATGAGGTACCAAATCATGAGCAAGCCGAAGTTTGGAACAGAGCCAGGAACAGGAACTAGCAACAAGGCAGGAGTAGAATCTGAAGTCAGGTCAGGAACAAGCTGGATCAGCAACAAGGGGATCATACAAGAATTTAGCTGATGGGTTAAGGACATTATATGGCCCTGTCCAGCTCTACTAGGGTAACTGCCTGTCTCCTGGAATCTCCTCCATGCTATTATGCTGGGAGACACAGCAAACCTTCTGGCAATGGCACGTATTGATGTGTCATCCTGGAGGACTTGGACTGCCTGTGCAACCTCTGTAGGGTCAAGGTGTCGCCTCATGATACCAGTAGTGACACTGACCCTAGCCAAATGCAAAACTAGTGAAAAACAGTCAGAAAAGATGAGTAGGGAACAAATGTCTGTGGCCTCCACCTGCAAAACCATTCCCGTTTTGGGGGTCGTCTCATTGTTGCCCCTGTTTTTAATTACATTAACACCAAGGCAGCTGAAACTGATTAACAACCCCCTCTGCTACTTAACTGACCAGATCAATATCCCAGGAGTTTCATCGACTTGATGCTATACTCTGATTAACCGCGTCGCTTCCCATCTGCCCTATAGCAGAAATACAGCTACAGGGCAGCACGTGTGCACAAAATCACATATAAATGTGATTTTAAATCTCCAGGTAGGGGGTGCGCGTGAGCTCTGCCCGCGCCGCCATTTGCAGCTGTCAATCATCAGGTCCTGGCCTGTGATTACTCGCTGGTGCCTGGTGATTGCTGAGGATCTCGGATGGGAAGGAGAGCTGTTTGTAAACAAAACAGTTCTCCCTGTCAGCTCGTGCAGACTGCTTTGCATGGCTGTGCACACAACAGTCATACAAAGAAGTGTACTTGCAGGGAAGCACTAACACACAGCACAATGTGAAAGAGCACACAGTTAACCCTTTGATTGCCCCTCATGTTAACTCCTTCCTGCCGAGTGCCATTAGTACAGTGTCAATGGTTTTTTTTTAGCACTGATCACTATATTGGTGTCACTGGGGATGTCAGTGCCGACTATTCTGTAAGGTATCTTGGATCTAAAAACCATCCTGAGCACCAGCGCTCCACTCACATTCCTTTGATGAGTAGTAGAGCTTGGGTGAGTTGTTGACTACGTAACGCACAAAATTGCCTGGTCAGGAAGGGGGGTAAATCCTCTGGAGGGCAAGTGGTTAAAAAGTGTTCATTTTTTTTTTGAGCAGCGTACTATTCTTCCTGGCTGACTCCTGAAATGTGAGCTGGCCCACTGACCTCTGGCTCTGGCTGAAACACTTTTTTTCTTTCATTTTGGATAGAGTAAGGGAGGGGTATAACTCCTGCCGGGTTTTTTTTTTTGCCATCTGTGTCCCATTGGGGAGATTTCCCTTCACTCCCTGTCCCATAGCCAAAACAGAAAGAACATCCCTGAAAAGTGAGAGAATCCCTGATTGCCATCAGAACCAGTGTCCTCAATGGACAATACTGTTCTGGCCACAACCCAAAATGAGAGACTTTCTTTCACTATCAGGGAAAACCTGATTGTTACCAGAACCATTGTCTCCATTGCAAGAATTCCCCGCTATCAGTAGTCTGGTGACAACCCAAAACTTTGAACTTTCACTTTCAGGGAATCCCTGATTGTCACCAGAACTGGTGTCCCCAATGCAAGATTTCCCCTCTATTACTGTTCTGGTGACAACCCAAATTGTGGGACTTTCTTTCACTTTCAGGGAATCCCTGACTGTCACCAGAACTAGTGTCCCCAGTACAAGAATTCCCCTCTATTATTATTATGGTGACAACCCAAAATTTGGGGCTTTCACTTTCAGGGAATCCCTGATTGACACCAGAACAAGTGTTTTCAATGCAAGAATTCCCCTCTAATACTGGTCTAGTGACAACCCAAAATTTGGGACTTTCAGGGAATCCCTGATTGTCACCAGAACTAGTGTCCCCAATGCAAGAATTCCCCTCTATTACTGTTCTGGTGACAACCCAAAATTTGGGACTTTCACTTTTTAAGGAATCCCTGATTGTCACCAGAAGTGGTGTCCCCTATGCAAGAATTCCCCTCTATTACTGTTCTGGTGACAACCCAAAATGTTTAACTTTACCTTTCAGGGAATCCCTGATTGTCACCAGAAGTGGTGTCCCCAATGCAAGAATTCCCCTCTATTACTGGTCTGGTGACAACCCAAAATTTGTGACTTTCGCTTTCAGGGAATCCCTGCTTGTCACCAGAATCAGTGTCCCCAATGCAAGAACTCCCCTCTATTACAGTTCTGGCGACAACCCAAATTGTGGGAGTTTCACTTTCAGGGAATCCCTGCCTGTCACCAGAACCAGTGTCCGCAATGCAAGAACTCCCCTCTATTACTGGTCTGGTGACAACCCAATATTTTGGACTTTCATTTCAGGGAATCCCTGATTGTCACCAGAACTGGTGTCCCCAGCCAGACCTCTGGCTCTGGCAGTGAATCACATGGTGAGCTGAAATAAGTATATAGATCAGGAGATCCAGGATAACATCACAGCTCATTAGCTGGTTATTTATTCCAGCCTATTGACTGAAACAAGAGGACCAACATGACAGCACTAAAAATGAATACAAATAAAACATGACTGGCATTAGATACAGAGCTGAACATGGACAGCCTCCAGGTCTCCTGTAAGTACAATGCCACCACTATCACTCATCCAGCCACCATCCTGCCTGCTGTGTGTACTATAGATGTTTGGGAATCACAGCACGACAGACTGTCTCCATGGCAACGCTACAACAAGCAGCGAGGAAGGCTTAGCAATAGGTCCCGCCCCTGATACTGGATTGGTTGGCCTCTTAGTTCCAGCGATCTGATTGGACCTCCACCTTGTCGCTCACTGTGCAGGTTGTAGTTTAGCTGAAACGTGCAGAGGGATAGAGTGTGTGCAGATTCCCTGTGCTGATTAGTGTTGGATACAAGTCTGTCCTGGCAATAAAGACAGGGGCTCCTCACTATGGTACTGAGCAAGAGGTTCTCCAAGGACGTCGGCTCCATGCTTCCCTCAGTGGAAGAGGCCAAGGATGCAGAGGAAGAGGAGGAGGGGGTCCAGGTCAGTGTGGGGGGCATCCCTAGCAGACCACCCAGCAGACCCCTCCCATCCCTGAGCAGAGGAAGTGTGGACAATAAGGTAATACATCTGCATGACAACTTAGTGAGCTGAAATGAGAAAGGCGATACTTTTTTTTCATTTTGGATAGAGTAAGGGAGGGGTATAACCCCTGTCGGGTTTTAGTTTTGCCATCTGTATCCCATTGAGGGGATTTCCCTTCACTTCCTGTCCCATAGTCAAAAGAGGAAGTGAGAGAACATCCATCCAAAGTGAGGGAATCCCTAATTGTCAGAACCAGTGTCCCCATTGGAAGAATTCCCCGCTATTACTATTCTGGTGACAACCCAACATTTGGGACTTTCACTTTCAGGGAATCCCAGATTGTCACCAGAACCAGTGTCCCCGTTGCAAGAATTCCCCTCTATTACTGTTCTGGTGACAACCCAAAATATGGGACTTTCACTTTCAAGAAATCCCTGATTGTCACCAGAACCAGTGTCCCCAATGCAAGAATTGCCTTCTGTTACTGTTCTGGTGACAACCCAAAATTTGGAACTTTCACTTTTTAGGGAATCCCTGATTGTCACCAGAACCAGTGTCCCCAATGCAAGAATTCCCCTATTACTGTTCTGGTGACAACCCAAAATTGGGACTTTCACTTTCAGGGAATCCCTGATTGTCACCAGAACCAGTGTCCCCAATGCAAGAATTGCCTTCTGTTACTGTTCTGGTGACAACCCAAAATTTGGAACTTTTTTTCACTTTTTAGGGAATCCCTGATTGTCACCAGAACCAGTGTCCCCAATGCAAGAATTTCCCTCTCTTACTGGTCTGGTGACAATTCAAAACTTTGAATTTTCACTTTTTAGGGAATTCCTGATTGTCACCAGAACTAGTGTCCCCAGTGCAAGAATTTCCCTCTATTACTGGTCTGGTGACAACCCAAAATTTGGGACTTTCACTTTCAGAGAATCCCTGATTGTCATCAGAACCAGTGTCCCCAATGCAAGAATTCCTCTCTATTACTGTTCTGGTGACAACCCAAAATTTGTGACTTTCACTTTTTAGGGAATCCCTGATTGTCACCAGAAGTGGTGTCCCCAATGCAAGAATTCCCCTCTATTACTGTTCTGGTGACAACCCAAACATTTGGGACTTTCTTTAACTTTCACACTTGCTGCTAATACTAAAACAGGACATATACAGGTGAAACTCGAAAAATTAGAATATCGTGCAAAAGTTCATTTATTTCAGTAATTATTATTATTATTATACAGTATTTATAAAGCGCCAATAGTTCGCTCAGCGCTGTACATTACAAAGGGGGACAGAACATGTGACAGAACAATACCAATACAATGTGATACACGAGGGGTTCGAGGGCCCTGCTCTTTCGAGCTTACAATCTAGGAGGGAGGGGATGGTGGCACAGGAGGAGATAGCTGTGGGGGATGGAGTGGTAGGAAGAGTGGAGGAGGTCGGTCAAGTTAGCAGGGGGTAGGCTTCCCTGAAGAGATGGGTTTTCAGGGTGCGCCTAAAGGAGAGGAGAGTAGGTGATAATCTGATGGGTTGGGGCAGGGAGTTCCAGAGGATGGGTGACACCCTGGAGAAGTCCTGGAGGCGGGCATGGGAGGAGGAGACCAGGGAACTAGAGAGAAGGAGGTCTTGTGAGGAGCGGAGTGTGCGTGCTGGGCGGTACTTGGATATTAGGTCAGTGATGTAGTTCGGGGCAGTATGGTGGACAGCTTTGTACGTCAGTGTTAGGATTTTAAATTTGATCCGTTGCGCAATCGGAAGCCAGTGGAGGGATTGGCAGAGGGGGGTGGCGGAGACAGAGCGGTTGGAAAGGTGAATGAGTCTGGCAGCCGTGTTCAGGATGGACTGAAGCGGGGATAGCCAGCGGCGAGGCAGGCCAGTGAGGAGGGGGAGTTGCGGTAGTCGAGTCGTGATATGATGAGGGAGTGGATGAGCTGTTTAGTTATAAAAAGGTAGTGCAGCGCTCAAACATAATACAAATGACAGAAACAATCAACAGTGATAAATATAAGTGCCAACCCTTAATAAAAATAAAAAATTAAGTGCCAAACCATGACCATACATAATGTGCATACATTTAATAAATATTGCTTCAAAAAAATGTCCAATAAGGAAAAAACTTTAGCAGTGCTCACACAGTGCCACACAAATAAAACCACATATGTGTTTAAATTAAGAACAATGTCCTTTCGGTGAAAAAAGAAATATATATATTCATGCGGTGTGCAGCTGTGATGATGAATAAAACCGTGACTGTGCCAAACTCCTTCCGTAAATGGCTAAATTGCCCCCTCACCTCCTCCTACTGACCCCGAAGGGCCAACAGGCTTGCAGGATCACCTGGATCCTTATTTTGTAAAGGCCAGCAGCTTCCTTCCTTCCCTGGACCTCCTCAGCAGGATTCCAAAGAGCCCCTATTTAGTCAGGGCAGTCCTGAAGAGTAATAGCTCACCAATCCAGTGAGCCAAAGAAAAACTCTCTAAGTGTAGTATTAAATCCACTTGTTTTTATTTTCAAAGAGTAAAAAAGGATAACACTCACATTGCAGACAATCTTCCCTCCTCACTGATGTGTGGGTGTACTGCATGCGAATGGGACCTCTTGGGTGTAGCAAGATGGCGTATTACGCCGGAAATGCGTCACCACGCACCGAACTACGGACTCGCGTACCTACGCGTTACGTCACCGTCTACTCGTGACTTCATCACCCAGATGAAGTCACGAGTAGACGGTGACGTAACGCGTAGTACGCGAGTCCGTAGTTCCGGTGCGTGGTGACGCATTTCCGGCGTGAGACGCCATCTTGCTACACCCAAGAGGTCCCATTCGCATGCAGTACACCCACACATCAGTGAGGAGGGAAGATTGTCTGCAATGTGAGTGTTATCCTTTTTTACTCTTTGAAAATAAAAACAAGTGGATTTAATACTACACTTAGAGAGTTTTTCTTTGGCTCACTGGATTGGTGAGCTATTACTCTTCAGGACTGCCCTGACTAAATAGGGGCTCTTTGGAATCCTGCTGAGGAGGTCCAGGGAAGGAAGGAAGCTGCTGGCCTTTACAAAATAAGGATCCAGGTGATCCTGCAAGCCTGTTGGCCCTTCGGGGTCAGTAGGAGGAGGTGAGGGGGCAATTTAGCCATTTACGGAAGGAGTTTGGCACAGTCACGGTTTTATTCATCATCACAGCTGCACACCGCATGAATATATATATTTCTTTTTTCACCGAAAGGACATTGTTCTTAATTTAAACACATATGTGGTTTTATTTGTGTGGCACTGTGTGAGCACTGCTAAAGTTTTTTCCTTATTGGACATTTTTTTGAAGCAATATTTATTAAATGTATGCACATTATGTATGGTCATGGTTTGGCACTTAATTTTTTATTTTTATTAAGGGTTGGCACTTATATTTATCACTGTTGATTGTTTCTGTCATTTGTATTATGTTTGAGCGCTGCACTACCTTTTTATAATTTATTCACACTGTGTTTGGTATCAGTTTTGAGTTTTTGAGTGCTGGCAGCTAGAGAAGAGGTTTAGTAGTTCCATTTGTATAGCGCAGGAGGATTTCGGATTATGAGCTGTTTAGTGGTTTCTGGGGTTAGGAACGTGCGTATTTTGGCGATGTTGCAGAGGTGGAGTCTGCATGAGTTTGTTAAAGATTGGACTTGGGGCTGGAAGGATAGGTTGGAGTCCAGAATGACACCCAGTACTCTGGCCTGCAGGGCGGGTTTGATGGTGGCGTTGTTGGATGTGACGGAGAAATCAATGGGGGGTGGTGTTCGGGCTGGGGGGAAGACAAGAAACTCGGTTTTGGAGAGGTTCAATTTAAGGAAGTGGAGCGACATCCAGTCTGATATGTCGCTCAGTAGGTGTGTGATTCGGGCTGAGACCAAGGGGGTGAGGTGGGGGGTTGAGAGATAGATTTGTGTGTCGTCGGCATAGAGGTGGTAGTTGAAGCCGTGAGAGTGTATGAGTTGGCCAAGGGAGGAGGTATAGATGGAGAAGAGAAGGGGCCCAAGGACAGAGCCTTGAGGGACCCCAACAGAGAGGGGGAGTGAGGGGGAGGTGGTAGCATTATAGGTAATGCTGAAGGAGCGTTGTGACAGGTAGGATGAGAGCCAGGAGAGAGCAGAATCTCTGAGGCCGAGGGAGTGTAGTTTTTTTGAGGAGGAGGGGGTGGTCGACTGTGTGTCGAAGGCCGCAGAGAGGTCAAGGAGTAGGAGCACTGAATAGTGGCCATTAGCTTTGGCGGTTAGCAGGTCGTTGGAGAGTTTGAGTAAGGCAGTTTCGGTGGAGTGTAGGGGATGGAAGCCGGATTGTAGGGGATCAAGGAGGTTGTTGTCGTTGAGGTGAGAGCATAGGCGGGTGTAGACTAGGCGCTCGAGGAGTTTAGATGTAAATGGGAGCAGGGAGATGGGTCTGAGGTTGTTCGGGTCATTGGGGTCCAGGGAGGGCTTTTTAAGTATGGGGGTGATGTGTGCATGTTTCAGAGGGGAGGGGAAAGTGCCTGAGGAGAGGGAGAGATTGAAGATGTGGGTGAGGGAGCGTAGGATGGAGGAGGAGGAAGGTCGTAGGAGTTGTGAGGGGATAGGGTCGAGGGGGCAGGTGGTGAGATGGGCATCAGAGAGGATCTTGGAGACTTCCTCGATTGGTAGTAAGGTCAAAGGTGCGGAGTGTGGGGGGAGCTTCAGTATGAGCAATGTAGGGTGGGGTGGAAGAGGAGGTCAGAGCAGTGGTGGGGCCGTGGGAGAGGGGTGATGAGGGGGTAGCTGAGTGAGGGTGAAGGGGGTTGGAGAGAGTTTGAGCAGCGACAAAAGTCCCTGCGGGTTATGTCGAGGGGGAGGGGGGATAAGGGGGTAGCTGTGTGAGAGGGGACGGGTTGAGAGGGTGTGTGAGTTGCGGCAATGTCCTTGCAAATTGTGTCAATCTTGTTTTTGAAGTGATTGGCAATCTCAAGGGCAGTGAGTGAGGTGCTGGGTGGAGGTGGGGGTGGAGAGAGTAGAGAGTTGAAGGCAGAGAAGAGTCGGCGAGGATTGG